GATTAGAATGGTGGTTCCATGACTGCGTGCATTTGTCAAAATTCATCAAATTGCATCCCTATAGAGTGGATTTGATCATGTATAAAATTATTATGCCTCATAAATCTGAATTTAAGAGAGAGAATCTGGGGTGCAGCTACAAAGGGGAAGATATGCGTGTATCGGGGCAGAGGTACGTGGGAAATCTCTGTACCTTCCCCTCGATCTTGCTCTGAACCTGAAACTGCTCAAAAAATAAACTCTTGATTTTTAAAAAGAAGTAAATGTATTGGCAGTGTACCTATTAACAAGACCAATGGAATGTTATGTTTTAAATAAAGGAGATTTTGATAATTAAAAAGAAAGAAAAGAATCCTTCTCATCGGCCACCAGAACCTGAACCCATGTCCCCGGAAAGCAGTTTGGTATAAGGAAAGCACAGCAGACTCTGCAGGGGAGCAGCCCTTGGGTCAAACCCCAGCTCTGCAATTACCAGCTATGTAACTGGGCAAATAACTTAACTGCATGTGAACAGTACTGACCTATGTTGTGATGATTTAATGACATAATGTACAATCTGATAATCCTCAAAGTGAGAGCTTTCCTCACAAGCCCCGTTCCTCGAACTCACAGTGGGGATCCCCCTCATCATTTTAAGTGCCCAAACAATGGTGGCAGGAATAGAGTTTGAGAAGCAGGTGGAACAGTCTAACTTAAATCATTCAAGGATTAAAGTCAGGGGAACAATGAGGCAAAGGGCAGCAATGCCTTTTTTTTTTTAAGTTCCATCATCAGATTCAAAGGAAATCCTAGTTCCAGTTGCCTGCAGAAGGCTATGTGCCCAGGGATCTAAACATTCTCATTCTGAAAAGAAATGGTCCCTAAGGAGTACAGGCCATGGGGGGGAGGGGGGGACTTTGGCCTCATGAAACACAGGGCAGATTCTTCTCACCTACAGACTCAATATCTGGGAAAGTGGGGGAAGGTCTCAGCAAGCCTAGTCCAGGCTCAGACACAGACTTGGCTTTGATTTTTAAATCTGTCTTTTTGTGGGTATTGTGGCAAAAGTTAGATGTAGAGTCTAAAAAAGAAGAGGCCACTGGGTATTGGTCTCTATAAAAAGAAACTGGGCCAGCTCTGTACCATTTTCCATAGCTCCAGAATACACTACCCAGGAAAAGATGTCATTAACCTGATAACATAGTATCACAAAACATGCAGCAGGGCCAGCTAAAAACCCAGGATAGAAAAAGCCTCTTCCATGTAAAACAACAGTGCGCCTTAGAATCAATAATATCAAGACACAAAGGTTGGGGAAATTTAGATCATAATGAAGGTGGTTTTCAAATGGATGGGAGGGAGATTAGTTAATAAAATAACTTGGGGCAACAGGCTCGTGGGCTGCAATACAAAGAAAGCTGTATTCCTACCCTCACTCCTTAACCCAAATAAATTCTAAGTGTATTAAAGATTCAAATGTAAAACAAAAATCATAAAAGTACTTAAAGAAAACATGTGAGTATTTTTTTTTTAATCTCAGAGTAGGAAAAACATTTCTAAGTGTGATACAAAACCTATGCTATAAAGCAAAAATTAGATCAATTTGACTACTTAAAAACTGTTTTGGAGGATTCAAAAAACGTCATAAATAAGTTTAGAGGCAAACTGAAAACTAAGAAAAAAATATTCTAAATACACACAAAGGCCTAACCTCTGTAACATAAAAAGAGCCCTTAAAATCCCTTGATAAAAACACAGTCCAGCTCTGGTTGGTCTGGCTCAGTGGTTAGAGCGTTGGCCTGCGGACGGAAGGGTTGCAGGTTCAATTCTGGGTCAAGGGCACATACCTGGGTTGAAGGCTTGATCCCCAGCAACCAGTCAATGTGTCTCTCTCACATCAGTGTTTCTCTCTCTCTCTCCCTCTCCCTCCTCCTTCCCCTGCACTCTCTCTAAAAAAAAATCAATGGAAAAAGTATCCTTGAGTAAGGNACTCTCCCTCTCCCTCTCCCTCCTCCTTCCCCTGCACTCTCTCTAAAAAAAAATCAATGGAAAAAGTATCCTTGAGTAAGGATTCAAAAAAAAAAAAACACATACAGTCCAATAGGAAAATGGGCAAAGGATATGAACAGAGAATCTTAAAACAAAGAAAAGAAATACAAATGCCAAGAATCATATGAAACCAATATCAATCTCACTCACAATTAAAGAAATGCAAACCAAAACAAGATGTCAGCTTTTAAAAGATGTTTGAAACAGAAATGTTTATATTAAAAAATGGAAATAACTGTAAACCCATCAATAGAGGACAGTTAAACAAATAACAGTACATAAATATAATTAAATACCCTGTACCTGTTACAATTTAAATGCTGAAATAACTGTAAACCCATCAATAGAGGACAGTTAAATAAATAACAGTACATAAATATAATTAAATACCATGTACCTGTTACAATTTAAATGCTGATTTTACCTATACTGATAACATTCAAAGAAGTCTGTAGCATACGGTTGAGTAGGATAAAAAAAGATTTTAATCTATGTAGTAAGATTCCGTTTGAAAGCGTACATTTTTTAATCTATTTGTGAATAAGTGCACAGAGATATGTCTGAAAGAAAATTCACCAAAACGACCACAGTGATTGCCCCTGGGTGGAGGGATTTCAGGTGATGTTTAAAACTATTTCAAAACTGCAGTATCCTTTTAATAATCTAAAACGAGTACATATTCCTATAATTAAAGAAAACTAATTTATTTTCATTTTGAAAAAATATGAAGATATTTCAACAAAATAAAACAAAGTATCAGTGAGATATTTCAACAAAATAAAACAAAAGACTGTCGACATGCAGTAAGGCAAGTGGCCAGTCAGACCAAGGCCTCTGCCCTGTGGCCGCCTCTTGTAACCAGAACTAGGCAGCAGGAGGTAGACAGGTACGTATATGTTCTCAGATTTACAAAGGTGAACCAGGGTGCAGGATGGCATGGGTTCAGAGAACAGGTCTGGGGGTGAGAAAGACTCAAGTCAAACCCGGGTCCCACACATTAGCTGTTGGAGACAGGCCAGTGAGCCAGGACAAGCGAAATAGCGAAAATGAGGCAGAGAGCTGAACACGCTGGCCGAGCGATTTACAGCAGATACAGGTCATCTCCTTAGAAACAGCATCTAGGCCTCAGCTGTATTTCAGCTCCAGACCCAGAAAAGCAGCAAAAGCAGGTGGATGACTCCAGAACCAGCTGCAATGACTAACGACCCCCTGCCCTGACGCTGGCCAGTGAGTGGAGCACACCTAGAAAACTGGTGACTATTCTGCTGAAACCCTCTCCAGAGACCTCCCCTAAGATTCCTGCCTGCAAAGGAGAGACAAAAGCCTCAAGACAAAGGATCCAGCACTCGCTCTCCCTCTGGGGAGCAGCGGGCACCACTCCTTCCCCCTCTTCTTCCCCCACAGACACACAGCTCCTAAGCTCTAAGGGGCCCCACGAGGCTTGCCACCAGGGGAGCAATGGGCAGTGGCAGCTCGTTCTGGGCTAACCCCCTGAACCTGTCCCCAAGGCCCCCTTTTCTCTGACTTCCCACGGAACTAAGGCAGCCCAGCCTAGGCTCTCCTGTTGCTTCTTCTATGCTCAGCCCTTCCTTGTTTCACTGTCCCCAGCTTTAATAAACGTTCCCTTATAGTCACTGAGACTTGTGTTGTGAAATCTTTCCTGCACGAAGTCAAGAACCCACGCCCTACAGGCCAGCCCTAGGCAGCCGCGCACAGGGCCAGGTCCCCTTGCTGGTAGCATGCTGACCTTGGCCAGGTCACTTACTCTCTCTGGCCCTCAGTCTCCTCCTGTAGCATGAGGATGACCGCCTTTACCTTGCAGGGTTGTTAAGAGGATGAAATAAGACAGAATGTGATTCCTTCAGCTCACTGCTTGGCACGTAACAAGCATTCCACAGACGGCAGTGCTTGTGCTATGATCTGGGACACTTGGAACCTTCGATGACTTTACAACCACTATATTCTCCATGACCCAGGCTCACAGAGCAGAGCAGAGAGAGGAACCCCTCGGAGAATCCGAACGCCTGGTGTTGGACAGCATGCTTCTGTGGCCCCCTGACCCTTCCTGGAAGCAGCCGGTGCGGAGTACGGCAGCCAGCGGGGAAGAAGGCAGGACAAGGCAAGGGGAAGAAGGCAGGACAAGGCAAGGGCCCAGCTGATCCCCTGGTGCCGCCCCCTGCGCAGTCGATGAGCCAGCACGACTCAGTCCTCTCCGCCCACCCGTCCTCCTGGGCCGGCTGGAACCTTCCCACACGCAGCCGTGTGTTAGGGTCCTAGGAGGGCTACTCCAATGCCAAGCCAGAAAGGACGTTAGGGATCATCTAGCACCTTTCACTCGGCAAATGAGGGACCTGAGGACCAGAGAGGGGAGGAGACTTGCAGGGAGCCAAAGCACCCAGCACCCTGCACAGACTCTTGATCACAGGGCCCCCTCCTGTGCTCATCCTTGCCTTCCCCTGGCTGCCCCCTCCTGCCCCTCACAAGGTCTCATTTCCGATTTCCATCCCTGCTTCATGACCTGTCAGGCTTCTTAAGCCCCTTCTCTCCTATGACAGTCCTAATTGTCCTTTATGGCTCTGTGGTAAGGGAAGGAACCAGAATAGAATTGTTCTGACTCAAATAACAGCCTAGAAAGAGAATTATCATGGCCATCGCCAAGTCAAAACCCACACAGCCATTCTTCTGCTTCCAAAAGCAATGCAGCTCAAACCATGGTGTGGGTAGCGGGAAGGGCTCTGAGGTATTGTCCTCCCTGGTGATGCTGGAGATTACCTTGAAACTCTTAAGAAAGGAAGAGCCCAGAAGAGAGAGGTATCAGCAGATTTAAGAGGAACCAGCAGACTCCAACTCTTGGGTCCTAATGCAACCAAGATGCAGTGCAGCCATGGGCGAGGAAAGACTTGGAGGCAGGAGCAGAGGCCCCTTCCCGGGACACCATCCCAACTCTTGGCAGTGACTGGGCGGGGGCTTACCTTGGGTAAACTGACGGGAGTCCTAGGCTTGGTCCTGGGGTTCTTAATCAGGAGTCTCTGGTCGAGAGGGAGCAGGTGATATTTCATGGCTTCAATGAGGAAATCCTTACAGGTATTATTATTCTTTATCAAAGCTTCTTCTTCAACTGTCTGGAGGTAATAAACCACAGGTAGTAAATCCAGGAGCAGAGCCTGGCCACATTTGCCATGCTGTCACCCCGGCTGAGTCATTGGGCACTGCCACACTCATTCATGCTCACAGCACATCACCTCAAACCTCGAGAGGAAGGTCCACAGGGTTACAACTTGGTGGTCACCTCCTGCATTTCAAGGGCACTTAGGGGTGATTAAGCTCAGGCCTCAGACAGACAGGGATACAAATCCCAGCTCTACCGCTTAACTCCTCTGATCCTCAGTTTTCTCATCTGTAAAATGGGCATATCAAAAATTATCCACAACCTCACTGATTGTGTGTTTTCATTTGTTTGCTTTGAAGTTTAAAATGAGATTATGTAAAACAAAGGCACTGGTGTCCTGAAAGCCTTTTTCCACATTCCACCTGGTTTGAATGCATCAGAATGTTTACGGCAAACGGTTAGATATTCGAGAGGAGGAAAGCGAAGAAGAGGAAGAGGGCGGGACCCATCAGCCAACCTTTGGAGGCATGAAATGAAACAAGGTGATTCACATCCATATTCTCAAGTGAAATCCTCAGGGGAAAAACTGGCCAGTGCGGCACTCTCTAACAGAGCGGTGATATCAGAGAAGAAAAAGCGTCCTACACAAAAGCCCTACCTACTGACCTCACCCTGGACCCCATCTAAGCTGGGACAATAGCTTCTTCACCTCTGATTCCAGAGTTATGGACCTAAGCAGGTATCAGCCAGTATAACCTTAAATGTTTCCTGAGCAAGACCATCACCTGCTGTGCAGCGCTAGAGCTGGCAGGGAAAGGACTGCAAAGACAGGGCCTCTGTCACCTCTGGGCACTTCCTTCCCCAGAGATGGATCCCAAGAATATTACCAAGAACACTATCTTCTTGGAAGGTTGTTGTTTTTGCCCTCCCACTGAGGGACTGAGCCAGGTTGGGGCAGATCATAAACTTTTAAGGTCAGTTAAAAATATTAAAAGGGTGAGAGAGGATTTCTAAAAAAGCTTGGGAGGAAAGAGGAATGCACAAATAGCATTTCTCCCAAAGAACTCATTCAGCTTGAATGAAAAGCTCCCCTACAGAGTTAGTGCTTCATGGGTACCATTTCATTTTGGGGTGATGAAAAAGTTGTAGGAATAGATATGGTGACGGTTGTACAGCTTGATGAATGCAGTTAACACCACTAAGTTATCCACTCAACACGGTCAAAACGATGACTTTTATGTTATATAGTTTATAGTCTATAGGTTATAGTTTTCACAATGAAAACTTATTTTAGAGATGCAGCATGTTACATAAACATTTAATGAAATATTAAACAGTAAATATTTAATGAAAGCCTAATAAAGGTTAACTAGTGAAAACAAACGAACAAGGAGACGCCTCCCTGAGAAGTCAGACAGTGCTGGTGCAGGTCTGCCCAGGGCTTCCCCTCTCCCTTCTTCCTCTCTATGACCAGCCAGCCCCGGTGGGTTACACCAGTATGAACTTTGAAGGGCAAATAAGGGTTAATGAAATACCCTCTTCTTCCCGCGGTGTTCTGAAAAGAGCCCTTTTTAAAAAGAAGTCTTACACAACAGTTCTCGTGTCCATTGTTCTGACCCCTTCTCCAGATCTAAACCCTACTTTGCCATAATAACCCAGGAACTATTTCCTTATGTCACTGTTAAGTTTCGGCTGTGGACACCTGCTGCAGGTTGTGACTAGGGATCTCTACGGCCCCTTTAGCTTTCTCTGGAACCCAGGTCCACAGGCTGCCCTTCCTCCCTGTGGAAGCAAGACTGTGCCCGAGGCCAAACATCCACTTCTACCTTAGGTAAGTTTCCCACAGGACAGTGGGAGGTTTGACTCTGACCCTGGGAGCTTTGGCTGCTTCAGTCCCTCTGCTTAGGGGACCTTTTCCACAGGAAGGATATGCTGCCACTAGGTGGCAGTGGTACCATTCAAAGTGCAAAATGCAGGGCTCAGCACCTGAGGAAGGGCTGAGGTTGAGAGTTCAGAGAACATTTCCCTGGCATCAGGCCTGTGGACTAGTGTCGCGAGCTGAGGACTTCACAAGTGCTGTGAGGACACAGTTTCAGCTAGATGCACTGAGCACTGCTGCAGGCTCCACATGGACTATCTCATTCTATCCACAAACAACCCTACACATGCAGGTGCAATTTTTATCAGAAGAGAACACTGAGGTTTAGAAAGGCTGAGTATTTCTCCAGTGTTAGACAGCTGGGACGGGACAGAGCTAGGCTTCTGGGCGGCTGAGCCTCCTCTTATCTTTCCTTCACTTTTTTCCATTCCTTCCAGAGACTTGTCAGGGACAGCTAAGGGCTGGCTCACTGCCTCGGAGTTTTGTTTCGTTCATATATCTAAGTTTTAAACTCTGCCTGCTTGGAAGAGTATACAATGTCATTTACTGTATAAAATAAGTCATGTAACAGATAAACAGAAGAGAGAGCATTAAAGGTGGCAGCCTGCTTAGCGCAAGGCGTGTGTGATAGAGCCAGACAGGCTTGGATTTGAATCCTACCCTGCCTCTTACAAGTTGGTAACTTCAGATAAATCCAACCTCCCTCAGCCTCAAGGCCCAAGTTTGTAACAAAGGGGTTATAATCTCTGCTCACAGGATTATTATAAGGATCAAATGAGAAAACATACGGCACTGTGTTTTCAGAGGAGGTAAATGCAACATGCACTCCAGGCCCCTGTGAGAGTTGGTTTATCAATCCCAAATTGGGCTCCAAGTGGCCTAAAACTAAGGCAAAGGGAACAAAGCAACATTATGGAAACAACCCTTCTCACTTGGTCTCCTACAATAAAAGCAGCTAATTTATCGAACATTTGTTTGGCCCTGCTCCGCACTAAACACCTAACTTAGATATTTACAACTCCTTTGGTCCCCACAGCAACCCTGCTGGGCTCTATTATAATTTCCCTTCTATTGAAGAAGAAATTGAGGCTTTAAGAGGTTAAATAAAACTCCAAGCTAACAAATAGTAGAGCAGGGACACCTCACACTTAACCCAATGGGCTGATGTCCTCAAGCTGCATGGAAGACCCAGAAAACTCCTCAACCACACCAGACAACCAGGGCTGCCCGCTGCTACTCCTGAGGCTTGGGTAAGCAGGACTCACCTGGACTAGGTAATCCCTAGGTAGGAGAGGGAGACGGACATGTTCCATCAGCTTTGCCATGTACTCTAAACGGGTTTCCTTCTCGTAATTGATCCACGAAATCACAGCTTCAAATACCTATAAAGAAAATCAACACAGATAACTTTACCAAAGAGACAACAGCTTCCAAACAACTTCCTCAACCTGAAAAACAGGAAGAAAAAAAAACATTAAAAGTCACCTGCAAATGTGTTTGACTTAAAGTTCAATATTTAAAATAAAACAAAAATAGAAAGTCTTTGTTTACGAGCTGATGCAAGCGAGTGATCACACACACACGTGCGTTATGTATGATAAACCTGCTGCAAATGTAGAATCATCAAGTTTCATTGCAAAATCAAAATCAGCTCCAGCAGTTATTAAGAGTAAACATACAGAGCAGTCACTCTGAACCAAATTTAATAGACTGCTCAAGAGGACTAGAGCCCTGGGGGCAATGTCATCATCCCGTCACACACCCCATCTCCCCATGCACCTCCCATGGCCAGGAAACGCAGAATACCAACAATAAGAATTCCCTCTGCCAAAAGCGGGTGGTGACGGAGAATATGACACTGAATGACAGAGAATTTCTGACACCGAATGACAAAAATTTCTCCTCTGGTTCAGCCTCTCCTTTGAGGAGAGGTTTCATTTCTACACAAATCAAAACTGGGCTTGGAACCAGAAAGGAGGCTCCAGGGTTTGGGTGTCTGCCTTACTCAAGGATAAATCCAAATTAAACTCTGCTCCACCGTAAACACGCAGACAGACAACACTCAATGCTGGTGAGGCTGTGGCGAAACAGCCTGTTTGTGGAAACTTCGTTATCATGGCCTTTTAAGGGGAGAGAAGGGTTTGGCAGCGTCCATCAAAGTTTTAAATGTGCATACTCTTTGACCAAAAAATAAAGCCCTAGCCTACAAAAATACTCACAGAAGTGGAACAAGAATGTTCCAAGATGTTCGCTGCACATTTTTTTAACAGGATAAAGAAGGAAACAACCCAAAGTCCACTAGCGGAGAAATGATTAAACTAGTATCCATACCATGGGATATTTCCAGCTGTTGAAAAGAGTAAAACACAACACCGGGTGCCAGAAAGCATGAGGGTGGTGAAAGGTTAAGGGGGTAGGACAGACGGACGCAGACAGAGCCTCCTAGCGGGCTGGCACTGCCAGCATTTGGGGCGATTTGAACACCGAAGAGAACAGGGAAGAAGTCATATCAGTGCCGTGTGGGCAGGAGGGGCTGGGTGGCGGCTGGGAGGGGGCCAAAGGACACTCCTGGTGGTAGGTATGGTCTCTGTCTCACAGGAGAACACGCATTTGTCAAAACTAGTCAACTGGACACTTAATATCTATACACTTCATACATCAATTTAAAATGTTCTTAGTTAAAACAATAGTAATGGATGGTAATGAATAAAAAAGGAACCCCTGCGTCCACAGGAACTCTTAAAAAAAAAATGTGGGAAAGGCTCTTCAACACAGAAAAGTGCCAGCTAATAAAAGTAGAAGGAATAATAGAATTAGAAAAACGTCATTTTGCAAATACCAACTGTAATATTTGATTCAGCAAAGGTCATCCAGGGATGCTGAAATCATTGGGTGAAAAGTTGCCGGGGAACAAGATATATCCACAATTCTCAAAGTAGCACCTCGAAGGTCATTTATGAATTACATGGGGAGGAGGGACGAGAGCCTCAAACGGGAGACCTGACAGGTGCCACCTTTAACCAGAGATCAAGGTTACCAATAGTAGGACAAACAAATTATATTCCCGACTGTGATTTAATGGGAAAGGAACAGTATCCCCTATGTAGCATTTTTCCTAAAATGTTTAACCGGAATCTTACAGCAGGGAACAATCCGACAGCTCCATGTTTGGACCACACTCTACAAGACAGTGGCCTGGATTCTTCAAAACTGTGAATACTGGGGCCGGGCGGGGATCCAGTTCTAGGTTAAGGGGTTTAGAGACAGGAGAACCAAATGCAGTGCGTGATCCTTGCCTGGATCATGGGTTGAAAAGAAACAGTCATAAAGGACTTTTTCAGGACTATGAGGAAATTTGAATACATACTATATATTAGATAATATTATGGTGTCCGTGTTAAGTTTCTTTAGTATGGTAATGGTTTTATGGCTAGAAAAGAAAACTTCCTTGCTCTTGGGAGGTGCATGCTAAAATATTTAGGGGGGAAGTGTCATGACGTCTGCAATTTATTGTCAAATGGTTCAGCAAAATAAAAGGGTAAATATGTAGAGAGAGGAAAAGAAAGCAAATGAAACAAAATGTTAACAACTGGCAAATCTAGATAAAGAGCGTATGAATGTTCATTCTCTCAAACTTTAACATAGTTTTGAAATATTTCGAAATAAAAAGTGGAGGGAAGAAGAAAAGAAATTCTACAGAAAAACTAAAAAACATTACAACAAAATTTACAATGTGGCATAAAGTTGAAATGAAAACTATATTTCCCTGGGGGGGGCGGAGCTCTAATTTTTCTTAACCTAGCTATATTTTTTGTGTGTGTTGATATGTTAATGGTGCTTTGCCTCTAAAATACTTGAACTTAATACCCAAATATATACTTAAGTCAGGCTGGGCACACGTGGATTCATCAAGGAATCGGGAAGGGAAGGGAAGAGAATGGAACAGGAGCAATATATATATATATATATATATATATATACACACACACACACACACACACACACACACACACACACACACCTTTTGCTCCCAGATCTGTGTAAAATAACCTATATATGCACAAACATACATACCATGGAAGTCCTCCTTGTCTAGTTCATTTTTTAAAATTAATTAACTCTCACAGAGCAATCTCTCTCACCCCCCCACAGCATTATTTTATGAATAACTGTTTCTTCAACTAGCCCTCAGATCTATGAGATCAGAGACCTTTGTCTTATTTGCTGGCACATAATACACACACAAACACTTTGTTAATGAATGAATGGACAAGTGAATTCAGAATGTAAGGGGGCAGTGGAACCTGCCCAGGCTGGAGCCAAGGGCAGGACTGGGGAGGTGGGGGCTGGAATCTTGGGGGAGAGGGCAGAGCCAGGACACAGGCCAAAGGGTGCTGGAGAAGTCTGGTGTTGCTGGGTCGGGTGGTGGGCAGCCACAGTCCCACTGTGCCTTGTGTTGGGGTTACCCACACCCCCTTCCACTCCCCTTTTCTAGACTGTGAGCTCTCGCAGGACGAGAAGTGCACCTCCTCCGTCTCCGCACCTCCTGCCGCCTCGCACCCTGCCAGGCACAGAGCAGGCGGGTGCTTGAGAGAGCTTTGCTAAAGAAGGAACTGCGAGTCCTTGAGTAGGTGGCATTTACTGATCCCGCCCTCCCCCATCAAACCAGCTTAGTCTTTGTTATAAAAGCTGAAAAGCAAGCTGAGTCTAATGAAGTCGATTTTTAACCTTATCTTTGTTTTTGGCTTGACTTGTCGGACTGGTTCCGCTTAGCCGCACTGTTTACCTGCTCCGCTGTGAGGGCCACAGCTCCAACACCGATGACCTTCTCAGCAGCTGGAGGAGGCCACGTATTTTCTTCATCTAGGCTTCGTGCTCGGAGAGTAAACAAGCAAATAAACTTCCAACTAGCACTAGCCCTCAATGTGCCTAAGTCATTCCCAACAGCCCCTCCCATCAAGGGACTGGCCAAGGCAAGGGGACAAGTAAGAGCAGCTGATATTCACCAAGCGCCAAGCCCCGCACCCCATTCTCCAGGGACACCAATGGGCAGATACTCCTGCTCCTTATTAGTTCACTCACCCAAGACCAGAGCCAGCAAGCAGCCGGGCTGGGGTCCCCACGTACACTCCAGTGCTCCTGCTCCCACCCACTGTTCCCTGCTGCCTCTCAATCATCCGCAGCAGCGGTTGACGAACTAGAGCCAACAGGCCACATTCAGCCAGCCAGCCAGCCTGCCACCTGTTTTCGTAAATAAGATTTTACTGGAGCGCGGCCACACTCATTCATTTACATGCTGTCTGCGGCTGCTGCTTTCGCACTACAACAGCAGAGCTGAATTGAGACTCCGTGGCCCACAAAGCCTGAAATATTTACTCTCTGGCCCTTTATAGGAAAACCTGTGGCTTCAGCCGTGGAACAGGGTGATATGTACTCAGATGAAAATACTTTCCATGGGTCCCATGATGAAATAATCAGCAATTACAAGGCACGCTTAGGGTTTCACTTTTAAACAAAGATATAGCATCATTTCCTCCCTACTTCATATTTAAAACCAAGTTATTAAGTGCTACAAGATTGCTATGTGGGAAGAGATGGAGAAAATCGGATTTTATCATCCCCTGCTCACCGCCCTTCTGATGTAAGCACAAGCCTTGGCCAGAGGACACCAGATGAACCCATTTCCCACCCGCCCCCGCCCCCAGTCATACAGGCAGCCACACCAGTCTGCACCTGCACCCAGCAAGTAAAGTGGGGAGCCCTGGGGCACTTACCCCTGCTTTCAAAATGCGTTCTGAGAATCAAGAAGGGGGACTCAAGTTAAAATAGGCAGGGGAGTGACTGGGCAAAGTCCAGTTGATTCTCAGCAAAACACAGAACGGGGGGAAAGAAGCTAACATCAGGGGGAAAACTAGGTTCCTATACATGGACCTAATTTGTCACTGAAGATTTGAGAAGGGCTAACTTTACCATTAACAGGCACAGTACTAGGTATTTTATATGCATGATCTCATTTAATCCACCCAAAACTCAGTGACATAGGTATCACTGTTCATATTTTATAGATGAAGAAATAGCCTCAGAGAGGTTAGCAACTTGTCCAAGGTCACACTGCCAGGAAGTAGTGAATCTGGGATGTGAACTCACCTCTAGCTCCAAAAACCCAAGTTCTAACATTACACAGTGTCGCATCTCAGAGGCACAATCGGTTGAAAACCTAGGCAGACTGTTTGCTGAGTTGGGAAACTACATTCCTAAACCCATAATCCTAATCTCTGCACTGCCCCAGGACATCGCCACCTAGCTAACCTTTTCTTTCCCAGGAATTGAGCCAAGAGCATTTGCTAAATCCACTGCCATGATTTTAAATCAAGAAGATAGC